AAAAGTGTCATTGGATCCTTAGTGCTTTATAAAGGCACCTTCTAGATTCATACAATCCTGCAGTGTCATGCTGCAGTATTGGGTTAATACTGCTTGCAAGGAAAGAGTTCTACCAGCACTACTTCCTTCTGAACCTTAGTGTCCCCTCCTGACCCACTTTATCTTGAGAGATCTGATGTGATCAAAACATAAGTAAGTACCACAGCAGTATCATGTGTTTGTTTTTCCAGGCAGTGAGCCTGATTCTCAGTTCCTCTTTTCTTGAGCTGAGGCAGGGAGGCCAAGGCGAGGAGGTAGATGTTGTTTTAGTACATCTTTGCACTGCATTTATTCAGGGGCTGTGTGGGGCTAACTCTTCCAGCCTGTTGCCCTCTGGGCTGATTGAACTTAGTCCTGGCTTTTTATAGTCACTGAAGGGTCTTGAAAAACAGAGAATAGCCATAGGACTGTGCCCAATGGCTACCCTCACTCCTGGTTTACCTTCTGTGCTGGGGGCTGGGAGCAGGGCTAGCGACTGTCAACTGTTTATGCCAACCGTGCAGTCCCTCTGTGTAGGGGTATTCATTTCAACACACTTTGTATGGAACTGGGACTCAGACCTAGTGGACACATCTACATGAGATGCTAACTACAGAGTAGCCTAATAACACTGTGCAGTCACATGCTGGGCAAAACCCATGCTAATATGCTATTGCACAGTAGCATTAGGCTAGCATTAGTGTCACTAAAAACCCATGCACTGGTGCTACTGTGCGGTAGGGCAAATTACTGCACATTGATTTAGTTCTTGGTTATCCAAGCACTAAAACTTAGTGTGCTGTAACTATGGTTCATTAATGAATGTGTAGCTAGATCAGTGGTTGGCAACACAGGTCCCATGGGCCAGATCTAGCCTGCAGTGCCACTGGATCCAACCCACAGAGTTAGAGGGCTTTGTCTGCGCCCACGCTGGGGCTGGGCAGCTGGAAGCTTCTCCCTGTCCGCCTCCTTCCTTCCCCCAGGCTGCAGCATGGATACAGCTTCCAGCTTATGGGGAGCTGTGGCACAGCCAGGTAGCTTCCAGCTGTCCCTACACTATAGCTGGCAAGCTGGGGGATAAAGGGGTGGTGGCAGGCAGGGCAAGGAGGTGCGTAGGGAAGCAGTGGCAACATGGACACAGTTCCTAGTTTGGCCCCATTGTGAGTGCAAAGTAAAACCTCCTGATGCTGACACACCGCCAAAGCCCCTGGCCATGTAGGTTGTTCTGGCCTGCAGCTTGTGAAGGTTGTTGACTGCTGTCCTAGATGAAGATAAAAGATCAAATATTGTAAGAGACTTGAAGGGGCACAGGAGTGTTTTACCCCCTAGGAATTGCTACTTCCCCACTGAAAACTCTTCTCCTGTGCTGTCAAAGAAGGCTTTAGTTTGATAGAGTCATCTCAGATTTTGAGTTGACCTTTTATCTGTCTCCTGCAGCCACTGAATATAACCCATAGCAGCTGCCACCAGCTTCATCACAGCTAGTCCCCAGCAGCATTTCCTTTGGAAAGAAGTTCCTCTTAACATGGTGTTAGCCCCAAGAACAGCCTTGCTTCAGTTTATAGATTTTAGAGATGAAAAAAGACATCTTATTAGGTCATCAAATCCATTTCCCTGCTTAGTACCAGGCTACTGCAGGATCCTTCATGCTCCATGTCTAAGTCAGTCTTCAGGCCAAGATCCTATTTTCTTCATGTTAAATTCCAGCTCCATGCACAGCATCTTCTTGTTCTGTGCCAGATCCCACACCCCTGCCAGGCTTTATCCACCCTCCTTGCAATTCTTAGTAGGGATGGAAAAACCCAGCTGAGATACATATTTCACAAAAACCTTGTGAAATTGTAGTTTGACACGATTGAAGAACAGTGTGTGGACAAACATAGGCACACATGTACATATACCAGGCACACAGAGGCACACCTCCACCACCCACATACATGGACACACAAATGCTTGTGGCACACTTATCCTAGGCTTCCTCTCATGCCCTACACAGCAGTCTTAGGGCAGAGGACAGGAGAGGATAGAATCCATTGCCTTTCTGAAATTTCTGACTCCCTCTGATGCACCATCTTACTGCACGTCACTAGGGCATAGGGATAAGAAAGCAAGCAGAGCCACATAAGTAAATCAGTTGCTTAGGAAGCAACAGGCTCTCTCTCCCCTGGATTGGGGAGTTGCTGGGCAGTTGATCCATTTTTTTTTTTTCCTTAGAGGTCGGGTTGATGGGAATAAGAAGACAGAACTACCATGTGGCAGTACTCAGGGTGAAGTAATATCATTCCGCCTCCTCCCCACTGCACTGTCCATGCCCTGGAGGATTATGCCCATGCTGCAAACCTGGGGCCAACAGGCTCCCAGTAACTCTGTCTTCCCAGACTCAACTCCCTTCCAAATGTAGTAGTGCTATTCTTGGTCCTCCAGCTCTGCCTTCTTGGTCCATCTTTCCAGGACCCCTGTTTACACACGCTCATTTCCTGTCTTTGTAGACTCTCCCCTTGCAGTTTGAGTGTTTTGATGAATTTTACTGCCAGCACCCTGTCTGGCGAGAGATGCCTGGCCCAATCACACCATTCCTCCCCCTCTTGGAGGACATGGAAGGCAGACACTTCTCAGTTGCAGGTCATTCCTGGCCTCCGTGCAGCCTGTCACTGGGAGATTCATTAGCAGCAGGGAGGTGATTCTCTTGTATTTTCACTCTGGACTTGGAGTCATTTGTCTCAGGAAGGAGCTGAGGTGCCTCACTTGCTATGTGACAGCTTCTGTTCAAGGGGGACAGTCACGTTGTCAATAAACAAGGAGCCCGGGGACAGCTCTGCTGACAAAGAGCATTATTAACGACCAGCTGCTTGCCCCAGTGTGGATCAGTGCTTTATTAGCATCTCCGAGTAATGAAAGAGAAGCAGCAAGAACTGGCAGCTGTCATCAGACATGTACGCAAGAGGGGAGGAGCTGGAGTCCATCCGTAGCTGGTGCCACTGCCCCATTTCCTAGAGCCATCCTGCTGCAAGAGACTGCCACTAGAGCAGACTCCCCCACAGGCACATGCTTCTGCGCTTTCCTTTACAACAGTGATTTATGAACTGTAGTCTACAAAATGCTGGAGCAGGCAGCAGGCCAGGTTCACTGCTGCTGCAGATTAATAAGAATTATACTCCATTGTGCCACCTCAGCCCCTGGTACCCTGAGGAAGAGCAGGCTGCATTACTGCTGCTGTACTTGGAGCGTGGAACTAGGGATAACTAATAGGTCCTCACATGCAGTCTGCCCAAGAGATGTCCCAAACCAGCACTTCCTGTGCTTACCGCACAGCCTTCCCACAGGGCTAACATTGCCACATAGTGCAAGGCAGATTCCAGTTTTACACAATTTCTCTCTTGGGAGGTGGCTGCTAGAATAGAGAGTGAGAACCACTGTCCTGCGGTGTCTCCTGCTGGTTGACACTAAAACTAGAAAAGCTGCTGACTCCTTCCCTAGATACCCACCTAAACCAAGAACTCCTACAACATGGACGAGCCCACAGAGCTGTGGAGTAGTTGTGGGTTCTCCTTGAACCTAATGTTCCTGCACTATCCCCCACAGTATCTCCCTCCCCTGCTGGACTGAGTGTAGAGGCAGGAAAATGCCTTCCTTGCTGTGACCTTGATGATTTGTCCTCTATCCTGCACCTGAGAACTCATGATGGGGGAGTTATCCTATATATTTTGTACAAAAACACAGGGAACCAGGGTTTAACCCTGAGCTGGATCCCTTCACAGCTTTTTCTCTGGAACTATGCTTGTGAATAGTGTTGTGAAGCATTTCAACCAAACTTCCATGTGTCCTAGCAGATAAGTCCATGTTTTAAAGTACAGGTACAGCCTCAGCTTCAGCCTCATCTCAGGCTTTGTGGTTATAGATGGAAGTAGCTCTCCATTCCATGGCTTGGTGGTTACAGAATTGTAGTTATAGAGGCTTAATATCTAAGGATTCATCCACTGTTCTAGTCAAAACCTTTTGGAACAGCAGCCTCCCTTCAGAATCAATGTCCTCAGTCTGGGCCTGAAGCCAGAGAAAATTTGTTTCTCCCCATTTGAAGGGTGAGTAAGGAGGATGAATCTATTACCTTGATGAATCCCAGAATGAGAGAAGGTTCCAAGTCCTACGGTTCTGATGCAGATCTGGGTATTGAAGCACCCAAAGTTGCACCCAAGTTGTGTTTGTGGATAAGAATTTGCTTCTTAGATAGAAGATACAGGATGTTCTGTGACATCTGGATCCGTAATTGGAATGCTTACTTCCCCAAAAGTTGGAGCTGTTGAGCTGCAGGTATTTGGAGCGGGCCCTTCTCTGCTCGGAGAAGTGCAAGAAAAACAGCAGCTAGTAGTTTCCTAACTGCAGAAGGCAGGCAAGACCCTGACATTTGAATGGCACCTGGTCTGTCCTCCGTGGTCAGAAGTTACTTGCAGGGGGCAAAGAGAGTCAAGGAATCACTGGCTGCTGTCTTCAGTTGCTTGTTTTGTGGTCTTCTATTTTTTGTGAAGGCAGAGCAGGTCCCATCCAGCTAAATGGTCTATTTCTATACCAGATGGAGCTCTGATCTGCTCTGTGCCTCTGAGTGAATTGCCTTCCTTCCTCCAGCCTAGCTCTTTGGTAATTGAAAAGCTGAGGGGCTGGAAGTGAGAATGAGGGGGGAGATATAGGATAAGATGTTCATAGGCTATGTGGACCCAAACTAGCCAGATTCCCTGGGCTCATCACTGAAATCACTTCTTATGATGTCTCTGGTTTAATTCCCCCTGAATCAGCCCTCTCCTATGAGTGAAACAATCTTCTCTGCAGATTGAGGGGGGGTGGGAGGGATTTGAACATTAATCTGATGTAGATTATACAGCTGCCTCCCTCTCTCTGTCCTTCTCACTCTTTCTCTTCCTCTCTCTCTCTCTTTCTTTCTTTCTTTCTGTTTCTTTCCCTCCCTCTCCTTCCTGCTTCATCTCTTCAAGAAAGTGAACATAAAGTAAAAACAGAAAGAGAGAGAGAGGCAGAGAGAAAAAGCTCCCTGAAGAGGGAAGCCCCAGCAGCCAATAGCTGTTTGGATTTCACTGGCGCTGCCTTTCTTGCTTTGCTCCCAAGGAATACCTTTAATGGAATCAATTGCTTCGGTTTCTTTGTAACAAGTCCACCGGAAAGGCAGACTTATGGGCAACTGTGTGAAGTCTCCACTGAGAAACCTCTCAAAAAAGGTATGTTCCCCATCAAAGTACATTTTGCGTGTTTCAGATCCTGCTTCTTGGAATGGGTGACATGGGTAGGTGGGAAGGGGAAGGATTAAAGAAATTTCTCTGTGAAGAGTTCAGTTCCCTCTGTCATCTTCTCCCTAAGAGCTGTTCATTCAAGTGCTGAACCTAGGATGTTGAATGCCATAACTTATATGTAAATGTGTGTGTGCATATGCATGCATGTGACTAGGAATGTGTCCGTGTGTGTGTGTGTGTGTGTGCATATGCACACAATTGCATACTTGCTCTTTTGTGCAAGTGTGCATAAGTGTGTGGGCATATATGTGTGTACATGTTTGTTTATATAGCCACACATGAATAGGTGCATATATTTGCGTGAATATGCATGCAAATTCAAATGCATATGTCAGGGCATATGCATGTGAGTGTATCAAAGTATGTGGTGTTTTTATGTGCATATGTCACATGCACATGGACATGTAGGAGCACATTAACTCGTTAACATATGTCCCTGTTACAGTGTATGCAAGTGAATACATGAATGAGTGAGTAAGTGTGTCAGATATATGTGTGCACCTCCTCTGTAGGTGCATTCACTTCCATGAACTTGTACATATGTAATTTGTGCAACATTTATGAATACATGTGAAAGGACAAAAATGTAAGGATATGCATGAGTGTGCATCCACATGTATACATGTGTATGTGCATGCCTCTGTGGATACCTGCATATGTGTGCACTTGTTTTTAAGATCTCACGGAGGAATATATGCAAGTATGCTGGAGCTTTTGTGTGTATCCATGTACCTGTATGTGCCTCAAGTGTTTGTCTATAGGTGTGCCTGCCTTCTGTGGTGTGGGCACACAGGCCCAGAGATGAGCATGAGCTTGTGAATAGCCAAGTATGTCCCTGTATGTGTGTTTATGCCTTCTCTCATGTGTCAGCACACTCTGTGTGTACACATGTTCATGGTCACGCCTGCATGCATGTGCATATGCCATGGTTGTCTGTAGCTTTAACCCATGGGCTGCTCTATGCTTAGATCACAGAATGGTTCAGGGATGAATTAGACTTAGGAGCCAAACTGCCATTATGGGCTAAATTGAGGGAATTAGTCTCCTTGGTCACGTCATTTATCTAACTAGGGAAGGAGTTCAGCCAGCGGGTGAGAGCAGAATTTACCTGGAGACACTGAAACGAATAATAATTCGCCAAAAAGAAAAACCCTGTGTTCCTTAAAAGGGAAGGGTCATAATAGGCACTGAGAGACCATCTTTAAACTGCAGACTTACCATGCCATGAAGCACCATCCTCAAACATGGTGCAAGAAACATCACGCACTGCCTTCTTGGACTGGAAGCAGTGTAGCCGAGTCCCCACAGTGCCAAGGAAAAGCTAATTGGCTCTCTCTCTCAGCAGAGCTAATTAACCTATCCTTGGCACAATGTGGACATGGCATCCTTGCTTCCAAGAAGCAAGGAAGCACCTTCAGGGGCCCTACGGAGCGTTTTCAGGCACTGCTGCTGGGCACAGTCAGCTTTCAGTCTGAGCATAGTGGTCTGCAGTGAGAATCCCCCCAGCCCCAAAGCAGAGACCCTGCTGGCAGTGAAAAGCCCCAGCCGCAGAGAAGCTCGCGGTGTGGAGGCCATGCTGTTAGTGAGCCAGCACACACCAGAAAGCAGCTCAGCATTCCAAGGCACAAGACGGCAGTGAAATAGCCCCTCAGGAAGAAAGCACAAATAGTGGAGGCTTCATTGGTAATAAAATGGCACCTCCCTGAGAATTCAGTGTGCTGACACTGGTAATTAAATGTTGCTGCTGTACAGAAGTTCACCGCAGGAAGGCTTCTTTAGCAGTGAAGTTTTTTTTTTAACTTTGCATTTACCGCTTTATGGGAAAAACACCCCAGTGCTATCTCAAATCCCATGACACGGTATACCTGTGAGTTGTGCCGTCTTGGCTAGTAGTGGCAAAGCACTGCTGTGGAGGGAGGAACCCACCCGAGCAGGGCCCCACTGTTTTGTGGTGTCTGTATGCAGTGAAGGAATTCATTCCAGAGCAGTTCGTCAGCACTGAGCTGTTTCTTCTGGTCAGTGTGACCCCAAGGAAGAAGCAGAGGAGGAACTTGTGGGTCAGTCAGCTGGAAATGCCTGAACTTCGCACATCTGAAAAGGTCACACTGGCTGTTTGTGAGCTGTCTCTCATGTGCATAAAATCGAACAGACTGCAGCTGCTCTTGTCTTTAATGTGGAGATGTGGCTTGTGGCGACTGTAGTTCCCAGCACACATCGTGGCCTGGTAGTCAGATCGAAATGGAGTGTTGCATTCTGGGTTTTTCAGGCTCTTTCTAGGGAATATCTTTGTAGTCATTTACTCCTTTGTTCCTGTGAGCCACTTAAAAGGATGCAATTTTCACATACTTACAAAGGCTGGGAATGGAAGGGTTAAAGATGAGAGCAACCACAGACTGAAGTACAGGATTTTGCAAAGTCCACTTCAGCGAGTTTGAAATAAGGCCCCATGGCCCATTCCTCTGAGGTGCTGAGTCCTCTCCACTCCTGTTGATTTCAGCGTAATCTGACTTTAGTCAGTATCTTGCAAGATTGGACTTTGAGCTATCATGACCTCAGGCTACTATTTAGTATAGCCCTCTTCCTCATTTCCTCAGGTGTAGGCCTTGGCAAGTGGAGGGGGAATTGCAATAAGGAAGAAAAAAAGATGGGAGATGGACTGAATTAAGCTTTGTCAGGGAGATTCTGCCAGTTTCCCCCAAGCTGAAACTCTACTGAGTGTCCGTGTCCTGTTTTGAGACAGAGAAACCACCTACATTAGGATGGTGCCAAGCCAGGGCCACCCAGGTACGGTCAAGTGTTCTTTACTTGCAATCAACAGGCTGCTGTAGGGGAGAGATTTTAACATGACTAGGAAAATGGGGACAGAAACCTAGAGGCCTCTTGCATTTGATAAACATCCCCCCAGGCAGAGAGAGGATGGCTTTTCCATGATGCAGATACTGCCCCTAGTGCTTTCCTTGAGCTTTGTTGACATAATTTCAAACAGAGAAGAGGGGACAAAAAGGGCCTCAGTGAAAAAAAAAATCTCTTTTACTCAGGCCATCTCCCTTAGCAGCTTCTCTCACTACTGTGATCCCAGCACTTGGTGTGCTGGAGACAGTAAACCTGCGTGTACGTGAGAGAGGATCTTGGCATAGCCAAACTGAGACATCCCTGGTAGCTTAGGTGGAGGAGGAAGTAATGGAAATGCTGAGTTTGAAGGCTAGCCTGAGATAACAGGGAACCATCTCCCTTTGATCTCTGGCAAATGGCAACATAAAACAGAGAGAGTTCAGAATAACTTAAAGCAATGAAGATGTCTCAAGGGATGGACTGAGGACTGGTTTCTGCAGCCCTTCCCATCTGCAGCACTGCCTCAGAGCTGAGTATCTTGAGCTCAAACTTCATTCCCATCCAGTACATTGTTGGGAGCTCACAGCATACTGGTGTGTGTGTGCAGCAAAAAGCACCAGTATCATTTACACTGCTTGGCAGTCTCAACAAAGACATAAAGGTCTCAATGGCAATACATCTTGCCCTTCCAGAGTGTCTGTGGGTCAGGATTGGGCACGTTGGCAGGGGAATGTTGGAGTCTGCCCCATTTCTTCCTCTGCTGTGGATAAAAGTCTACTGGGCTCTCAGTCTGACACCTTTCCCCAGTTCTGCAGCCACTTTTGGGAAGCACCCAGCTTTCTTTCCACTGTAGGAGCTGGTGCTCAAGCCAGCCAGGTATTCCAGGAATGGCAGTGGAGGAGCTTGAGGCCCCCTCACTTATCTTGCTCCTCTCAATGCTCAGGTCAGCATGTTGTTGCTTCTCCCACAAACAGGTGGCTGCCCTCATTGTGCCCTATATCTCTGTCAGAGCCATCTCTTCTTCTTTGGCTTCGTGTGTTTACAAGGAAGACGGGGAGGGGAGGCTTTCCAGCAGTTCACTGGGAGGCAATTCGGCAGCAGGAGCAAGTGGTGCTGTAGGGCAGTTCTGTGCAAGCCCTGACAATGATCCATGAGTGGTGCCAGCAAAGTGGAAGGGAGGGCATGTGGCATTAGATGAGGACAGAGAAGTGTCATTCCCATTACCTACCCAGCCGGTGGATCTGTGGCTTAATCCCCTTCTGGTCTGCTTTGCGTCTCTGGCAGTTATTTCATCAAACTGGTAATTTCTGTGCATATACGAAAATAACAGGGTAGGCTCCTGTTTGGTACAACTACAGTCACTTCATAATCAAGTCAAGTGGTTGGAAGGCTAAAGAGGTTTTCATCTCTCATTTGGTTCTCAAAGGAGTTACACCTCGGGCACATCTGGCCTGACAATCTGACATGTATATTTTGTCCTTAAACTGTACAGCATCATGCCGACGCCATGACAATTAGCAGAGCCTGTGATGTGCCAGGTGTGGATTGATGCTCATCTGTTATATTTTTAAGGACAAGCTCCCCATCTGCCATGTATAATCAGGTGAAGAGTTTCCTTCTCATCTGTGATTGCAATTAGAACACTGTTGTGCGTCATCATTTCCTTTACTTCATGGTTTTCTTTTTGCGTTGTTTTGGTTTTGGTGCTTTTGCTTGATATTCACACGGCATTATACATGAGCAGATTGCCTCAAGACTGTGTTTAAAAATGTAAACTACAAACCATGTGTGCAGTACAATAACATATGGCAGGCACAGCAAATAGATGCAGTAAGTGTGGGTGAGCATGAATGGGGTGTGCATGTGGCCGGCTTCTTAGCCTGGAAAGAAGTATGTGATTAAGAGTTAATACAGAGAGTTAATATAGAGAGAGAGGCAATAGCTGTTGCCAGAGCTGCTCTCATGACCTCTAGAAACATTATCTATAAATGTGGGAGCTCATTCCTGAAGCAGAAATGTGATATACAGTTAATGTTTTTGTATAAAACCAAGGGTCCTGTGGGTAGGGTTAGCTTTTTATAGCTGCATGGGAATACCAGGAGAAGATGAGCCATGGAAAAGCATGTCTATATTAGGAAAGCAGTGACTCCTTATAGAATCGGATGTTGGATTCTATTCTAGAGCCTCGTTTGATGGGCTATGTGGACTTCTGAGAGTGGTCTGTGAAAATGCAGACCAGACAAGGGTAGTGAGACGGTGGCTGGCGGACTCTGAGGCTGTAAGAGGCCAGAAGAGACTGATATTATAATCGAACAAGAGAACAAGAATGTAACTAATTAGGATGGTAGTTCACTGGGAATGTGAGACGGCACCTGGATAAGCCTGCTGACACTGTAAATGATCCTCTGACAGTATTACTAAAAATCTGATGCAGGTATTTATGCACAGTTGTTAAACTGTGTTGCCTGAACGTGAAGACTAACACAGTTTCTCTGCCTGGTGTTCAGTTGAGGCCCCTGAATAGTTTCCCTGTGCTTGCACACTCATATCTTTATATCTGGGTATGCTAGTCCCTTTCAGCCCACACACAAAATTATTCACTCTGGGGCTGGAAGTGGGAGGGACAGGAGATGTTCACTTTCTATCGTGGCCTTTTTGTCTGTAGCTGAAGGGATGTGTGCTGCTTTGAGAGTTTGATGCCATTTCAAAGTGAAATCCTCCTTGGTGGCTAGACGTTTATCAGCCATTGAAAGCAAACTCGGTTCCTGCTGCTTCAGTACAAACCTGTAATAGATTCAAGGGGGAACAAGACTGGAGTGATCAAGGACATGTAAGGCTAATGACTCTACTAGGCAGTCCAGTAAAACATCAGAGCAAAGACTGAGACAAATAGGGAGGTAACTTCCTCTATTGTATTGTTTACTTGCTGCTGATTGGCTGGGAAGATCCGGCATGAGGAGAAGACGTGCTATAAAGCTGTCCAGACGAGCGAGGAGGGGCCGTCGGCCTGCGAGTACCAGGGTCCACTCATGGTGCTAGCCCAGAACTGCGCCGTCATGCACAACCTGCTGGGGCCCGCATGCATCTTCCTGAGGAAGGGCTTCGCAGAAAACAGGCAGCCTGTACGTAAGTTATACCTAGCCGGGCGAAATACACAAAGTGCAATGCACACGTGCGCGGACATACAGCCACACATGTGTTCCTGTGTATATGGAACTTGGAAATCCCCCAGCCTTGCAGACTAACATGCATATGCAATCATATGAACTGAAGGATGTGCAGAGAAACCTTGGCATCTAAATATCAGGTGAAGAATATATCACATGGGGGATAGATTTGTGCCCGCTCAAACAGGCACGGACTCAAGCACACCAAAGAAAGCAGTGTTCACATTTGATGTTCCAATGCAACATCCACATCTTATATATGGAGGCTTAGGTTAGCACATAGAGGCTAAATATTAAAAGGCTGATTAGAATGCCTCTGGGAACTGACTGTCGCATCGAGGTGCCCACACTGGACACTGGCCACACCTATACACAAGTGAGTACACTCTATGTGCCGAAACAAATCGCCATCTACGTTCACAGTGACTTGCAAGTTTTGACACATACGTACATTTGGCTGCAATTTCAAACATATGCACTTGAACATGCTAAATATAGAGATGCGCTTGCATCTGTGCATTCATAGCAAGTGAGGTATATATTACTGTAAACTCAAAATACATACAAACATTTCATCCCTATATTTAAATGCACATATACAGACACAATTTTATTAACATGCACATGTACATATATAAATAGATGGACATAAATGCATTTTCTTATTAACTTAAAAAGACCCCTGGTGTAGACACCAGGCTTTGTGTATCCCAAAGCTAGCCCCCAGCCAGCTGAGCTGAAAGAGAATCACCCTTGGTAGCACTCATCATAGGGCTTTTATCCTCTGCAGCCTCTAACCTCAAGTGCCATGTACTGTATAACCTCTAACCTAAGTTGCCACATATTTCCTTAGGCAGTTCATTAAAGTGCACACAGTGATATTTTCACACAAGCATACACTTATACTAGCACATAAGCAGCTATACAATCACATGTTCAAGCCAACAAGTGGATCTAAATTCCATATAGAATGCCAGTAGCTGAAAGGTGTCTGTATCCATTTTATTCAGACTTTGAGAATCCATAATATCGTATGGGGTTTCAGAAAGGATTGGGACATCTCTGACAACAGCCCTGCTATGGAGTGAATGTATTTAATAAACAGATTTGTTCCTTATTTTCTCTTTAGACAGCAGGACTTTGTGCATAAGACAGAACACTGTATTAGTGCAGGAAATTTTCCTCTACCTGACTGCTTTCTAGTCACCTCTAGTTCATTCTTAGGGTTTAAACTTTTTGAGCAGGTGTATGCCTTTTTCCATCTGTTCTCCTCAGAAGGCTTTAAATGATTTGGCTGATTTCTTCTTGGGCAGATGTTTTCCCATTTAATCATTTTAAGGGATCTTCCTTTGGATTTTAAAACGGCAAATCCTCTTGTGACTTTCGTGACCCCAGTTACTACTTGGTCCAGATTTGCCAAGGGGCCTGAGCTCAGAGCCCTGCACATGCAAATGCCTTAGGGTGCAAAATAGAGCCCATGCATAAAAACCCAGGAGACTTCCTCTTGGAAAGTTGGTGTGTTAATGATGCTGGCTATAAGATGGCCTTAAATGCCAATGCTGATGTGACTGGGAGGAGAGGCAGTCTGGTCGTTCCAGTAATGGAATAGGGCTCAGAAGAGCTGGGTTCTACTCCAGACACTGTTGCACACATATGAGTAACCTTGGGTGAGTCATGATGTCCTTCTGTTCAGCAGAGATGATAATGATACTTCTGCGTCTCGAACTGTGTTTAGGAACCTGCTGGTGCTTGATAATAACTCCAGGGTTTAATGCACTCCTGTTTGCAAAAGTCCTTGAGGGGAGGTGTACAAAGTGTTATTATTGATCATGTGCCTCTGTAATTCATTATGATATCACAGACAGGAAGGCAACAAGGCCTCCTGTCTGGTCTCAAGGGTCTGAATTGTTTTACAAATCAGTATTAATGAAAGCAGAAGAAATGGGATGACATGTTTGAAGTTACCAGATCTGTGAAGGATGAAACAGGAGTCAGAGCTCTCTGAAAGTTCCATCCAACACAGAGATGCCTCTGGGAAGGTTATGAATGGCAAGCTGATCGCTTCTCTGGCGCAGCCCCTCTTTGCACAGACGTAAACCAGTATGTGTCCTAGTTTGCTGTGTATTCCAGGCAGTCATTGTTAGCATTACCAGAGAAGCCTGCGGTTAAATAGCAAGAGCCCATCCTTATCAAACTGATCGAGGGCACAGTCTCCAGGGATCTGTGATGATACTGCAGAACCCCTGGGAGGCGAGTCAAAACACCCAGAGGTCAAGGGGAGAAGCCAAGACTCAGATGAGAAGGGAAATTATTTTTCTGTTGTTTCCAAATTCTGAGCTATTTGGATTTGCCATGAATGGGAGCCATGAATGGAGTTAGAAAGGGCTTTTACTAACCAGAAAGCAGTACATTTCCATGCTCAGCTCTTCTTCCTCTTGGTGCAGCCTCTGGAATTTTCTGTATTCTTTACATCCCCACCTGCAAAGTAACACAAATTGGATGTTTGAAGTTGCAGTGTTTCCTTATCATGGTGAATCTTTGTCCTGTTTTGTTTGTAGACGACCTTGCTGCTGTACATTTTGTATCCTTGCCTACGTGCCCAGGTTTAAAATGCTTGTTTTTGGAATTGAGTCTGGGGGGAGCTCACTGCTTCTACACTTCCTGCCTCTCTTAGAGGCGGGGCTGTAGGGAATGTCACTGGAGCACTGGCTGTGGGAGAGCTCGTGGCTACCTCTGTTTTTGCTGGGAGGACTGTAGAGAATGGTGTAGACTTGCCGGTTGTGGAGCCAGCTTGCAGCAATTCCAACCTCAGACATGCCCAACCAGAGTTACTGTAGTTAATATAAGAGCTGCAGAGGAACTCACCCATCTCTACCACCTGGAGTCAATGGAAGAGAGTGATGTAGGAGCTCATAGGGTCCTCTCATCCATCTGGAGGGGAATCCCCTTGAGAGGCCTCTACTGTCCCCTCCTTGGTGGTGAGTGCCCATCTGGCCAGCAGGCATGATGGAGCAGGGCTTCCATAGAGAAGTGTAGAGGCAGCCGCTGGCCCTCTCCTTTTTGGAAGGAGGGGATGCAAAGCCTTGCTGGCTAGATAGTATTAAACATGTCATCATTTTCCTGTTTCTTCTCTCACTTTCTGGTCCCCAACCTGTCTGCACTCATGACTGCCGTTCTGACACTGCCTCCCTACAAAACAGCCAGTGTTAACCATATAATGTTCTCTCTTTGCAGGACAGAGAACTGCGACCAGAAGAAATTGAAGGTATTGCTTTATCTCTCCCCTCTCTGTCTTCCTTTCTTCCTAACCAACATACTGAATAGCCACCAGAAACTGACCACCTAGACTAAAGCAAAGGGCAGGAACTTATTTATATCTGCTCCTAGAAAACATTTTAGGGAACAATATGGGACTGCAAGCCACAGGAGAGCTGTATACACTGCAGCTCCTGCAGAAAGAGGGTAGGCTGTAGAGTAGGTGTTCTCGTTATTGAGAGCTGACAAGTACTCCAGCTCCTGAAGAAGGGGCATACTGCCTACCATGGGAGTGTGCTGATGGGGGGGAACTGATGTACACTCCAGTGTCTCCTGGAGCACCTGTAAAGTGTAATGTAGGAAAGGTGCTGTCTATGGGGAGCTGGCATGCTCCAGCTGCTGCAGGACTGTAGCGAGCAGTGTGGGAGTTCTGGTTCAGTGACAGCTCAGAGACTGCAGTCTGAGCAATCTTAGCTGGAGGGAATGGTACAGTAGTGCTGATTGTGGGGGGACTCATACTTCCTCTGGTTCCAGCCTCCCTGTGGGTAACTTGCACTGAGAAAAAACATCTTGGGGATCATGTCTCAGAGCCTAGTACCCTGACAAACTCCTGACTCTTTGTGGAGATGCCCTAGGAAATCCACCTAACGCCATCGCTGACAGCATTGTCCTTGTTGGATTCACTCTCACAGAACTACGAGAAGCCTTCAAGGAGTTTGATAAAGACAAGGATGGGTTTATTAACTGCAGGGACCTGGGGAACTGCATGCGCACCATGGGCTACATGCCTACTGAGATGGAGCTCATAGAGCTTTCCCAGCAGATCAATATGAACCGTGAGTAATATCCACCCACTGGCATGTTCCCTGTCACTTCAGTAGTTTCTGCCTCCGTGCTTTCATCTCTCCCTGACAGTCTCTTGTTCTCATCTGTTCTGTGGTTCTCCTTTACTCTTTCTTTGTTCTTTTGTCTGCCTGCCTGTCTGTCATCCTGTTGCTCTGTTAGTCCATCTGTCTAGCTGTCTCTTCTAGGTCCATCAGTCAATTTACTTTTCTCCAGGCTACCAGCCTTTCTGGTTGATGTATGGGAGGAACATGTGGAAGGGGATGCCATTTGGATCTGCATAGTCAAGCGTTGCTCTCAGCATGTCGGTGATGAATGTTTTATTAGACCTGGTATCTAGACAGTGTCGGGCTTGGAAGTCTGTGCTGAGAAGGGAGGCTGGGTCATGATTGCACAAAGATCCTTTGGGGTGGGTGTAGTGATGTGTACAAGAGCTGGGGTGTTTTTTTGGGTGTTGCCATGTGCAGAGGAGTTAGATCAGAGGTGGGGGTGGTGCTGGGTTGTGAAGCAGCCCTCCCTCCACCTACTATCAGTTGAATCAGTTCTAGTGGAATAATGGGGGAATGTGTTTGCAAACAGACCTGGGATTCGCAGTGGCTTTATTTGCGTTCTTTTTTTTCTCCATCAGTTCTTTTTCCATACTCTGGCCTGTGGCAGTGCTGTACGGTGCCCACATTCACATGTACACAGGAGTATTCACTGTATTTTCTGTTGTGCTCTCTGGTCTTCAAAGTGTTAGTCATCCATTCAGGGAAGAGAAGCAGTACCATGTGATTTAAATGACCAATCATGCATAACAAAGAGCTGATAATCCTGGCGCTCCATTCCCAGGCAGTCCACAGGCTGTCCTTAACTCAGCCAGGTGGTCTGATGGACACGTAGGCATTTTAGAAAGTTCTCTCTGATTTGCAGATAGGACACCAACAGGAAGAAGGCTGCATCTTTTGAATAAATGGTTTTGATGGAATGGTGTGTCATCCCAGGGGGTGTATTCTGTCCCCTCCTTCAACAAGGTGCAGTGCCATACAGGAAGAACTCCCCTAGTGCATGTATGGCACAAAGTTGCCATAATCTGCATCCCTGCAAGTCCTAGCGTAGGGAGCGGGCCCATAGTGCAGGATATCGCAAGGATTTTGGGCTGTCCTGCTCCCCATAGGCAGCCTAGGATGGAGAAGCTGGGGCCAATTCAGCCCAGCCCAGAGTCCAGAGAGTGCAAAGATGCAATAAAGCCACCTTTGCTTAACTTCCCCCTTGCCTGCACTGTCAGTACCACCCGTCCTGGAGAAGCAGACCCTCTGCCTCCAGCGTGTGGCCACTATTCAGTGGAAGGTGTAGGTTGGGGGTGTTACCCTGAGCACTTTGGCATCACTAAATTAGAAGCATCTATTAATGTCTGATACGCAAATTTTCCTCTTGTCCCAAGAGGGTGGCCATGTGGATTTTGAAGACTTTGTGGAGCTCATGGGACCAAAGCTTCTGGCAGAAACTGCAGATATGATTGGTGTGAAGGAACTACGTGATGCCTTCAGAGAGGTGAGTACCACCTTCTGGGTGACCCTTTGAATGAGGTGAATGATCTGTCCTGGGCCACCTCTCCTCAGAGGTGAGCCTCTGCCTCTAGACAAGCTCTTCCAAAAGGTGAGCACTCCCCTTCTCTGACACAAAGATTGGAGAGAGGGTATGGGCAAAAGCAGGAGAGAGAAGACCCAGTGGAGAGGAAGAAGAAAGAGCAAATATAGCAAGGAAGGAGATATGAGAAAAAAAATCCAAACATGGAAGAAGGAAAACACAAGGAGAGAAACAGGGAACAGTGTCCAAAAGGGGAAAAGAAGGAAGATGGGATGTGTGGACTCCCTGAAGAGAGGGGATGACATGAACCAGAGCAGAAGAAGGAGGCCAAGGAAGGAGAAGGGGGAGCCAAGAGGGAGGGACAGTAGGGACCTCCAGGAGGAATTGATACCTCAAGTAGGGGAAGACACAAGGTCCAGTTCTGGAACCTCTGGCTGCTGAAAAAGGTAAGACAGGCTCCACTCCAGTTAACTGTTCCTCCTGCTGGCATGTGTTGTGTCCCTGCAGTTTGACACCAACGGTGATGGAGAGATCAGCACTAGTGAGCTTCGGGAGGCCATGAAAAAGCTGTTGGGGCAGCAGGTGGGCCATCGGGATATTGAGGAGATCATCCGGGATGTGGACCTGAATGGAGATGGGCATGTTGATTTTGAAGGTGAGAGGGAATACACCCCTGCCCCCTTCACTGAGATGTGGCAGATTTTCAGCTCAGCAGCTGGCTCACAGCCCTGCTTCAAGAATGGAAAACAGAAAAAGATCAGCATGGGGGCAGCATGATCTCTGCTTAGTATTCCCAGCTTCCTCTTTGAGGCCCAGATATCTGTCCCATAGGTTACAGGGAGAGAGGTAGAGATTTTCTCACTGCTTATCAGTGTCAAGCATGGATCTTGAGCTATGAGAGATTGCCCCTGTGAGAGAAGCATCCACTGCATGGCATGTGTAGCACCAGACATCTCTTGATGGGCCATTTCTGTTTCCTCTTTGACCATTTAAAAGGGCCTGGGTTTCTCTTTGCCTAGCTAGGTTTGCTATTTCCCTTACTGCAACCATGGATCATTTTATTTGGGTTTTATATATATTTTTATTTTACATCTTTCTCCTGAAAGACAGTTCCTTGTTAGATCCATTTGCTGACTTATCATATATGTGACCTAGTGGCTCCATGTGCGTCTCACTGAGGGATCCCAATTTGAATCCAGACTTGGACTTCCATTCTCTGTGCAGGAGGAAGCTGGGAATAGTGAGCAAGTGTTATACTACTGCCTGTTACTTCATGGCAGCCTCAGCGTTCATTTAGGAGTGCTGTTAAAGGTTCTTGTAATGGAGTTCAGACTTCAGTCAGGGAAGAGACTAGTGATCAGACATGCAAAACAGTTAGGGGATAGGTTTATGAACAAGATTGGGTTTGGGGAAGGTATTTAAAAGGGTGGCAGGCTGTTTCCTAGTACTTTAAAATATTTCTTAGGAAAGTGGTTCTCTGACTAGTTAGTCTGCACTTGGTGGTGGTGCAGAGGGCTGACGGGTCATAAGGCATTTGCACTACTTGTTTCCAGCTACTAAATTGTATCAGACAGCTACAACTCATAGAAATACCATCCTGATATTATTTTTCCATGTGAGCAATTGCTATGGTTGCCCAAGGGCAACTTCATGAATTAGAAGAAATATGTCCAGGAGACAGTTTCTAAATTAAGATTAAATCCATTTTATTAAGACCTTGAGTACATGTCTCAAAAGTAAACTGGCCTGTTTTTTTTTCCTAGGCAAATTGAGTGCAAAATTAAAATGCGTTCAGATCGAGTAGCATTTTACATTCCATTTCCATAGAAGTAATTGATTCCCCAGACAACATGTGGTAGAGAAACAGGCCAAGGACCTCCCTGAAGTTCAAATGCATCCTGAAGACTGCAGCATCTATCAAACAAAATTGTTTCCACAGAAAGTCAAGTATCTCCTCAAGCTGCAGTACTCCCATGTATTTAGTGCTTCCCTAACATGGCAATATCTCACTGAAACTGCAGCATGTTCCCAAAACTGCTATAACTCTATAAATCAGTGGTTCCCTAAGCAGCCTTCTCTTCCTGAAATTACGGTGGAGTCTGAGAAGATGCTATCTGTTATACTGTTTACTAAGGAGTTTATTGAGAAAATAAGCTATCACATAGTTTTAGGGCAGCAGTCCTAGCTGATAAACTGCCCTGGCTAGTAAGATCTTGTAACTCTAGCGGTGTGGCAGGAACCAAGGTCTATTTTGTGTTAACTCTCCAGAGTCAGCAAAGAAGCAAAGCAGATCTGGGGAGTGTGGGTGCAGCTTTCTAGTCTTTCCTTATCCCACTGCCATCACAGTTTCTCAGGATAAAAAGAAGCAGGACAAGGGGGATTGATGCATTAGTTGCTCTGCTTCAGGCTCTTTGATTTTTCATTGGCTGCAGAGTTTGTTCGGATGATGTCCCGTTGAAGGTTATTCTCAGCTGAAGAGGAACCAGCACCTTACAGAGGGCAGAAGAGGACCTAGGTGGAGCATCTAGCCCCGATGTTGCCACGCAAAGGTTAACAGGCTGGCTGCGTTTGAGACAGTGCGAGGCAACCCGCCTCTCCTCCCCTAAAGTGGTCCCCACGTCCTTCCGCCCTTTCACACTGTGAAAGACTCGCACCTCCTACAACTGGAACCCTTCCTCAGAGATGACGACTGCCGGAAGCCGCAGAGCCAGGACTCGCCACGATGCTGGGACGTTTGCAACTTTAGACACCTCCTCCCTTGCTTTTTAATCACCTGCCAACTGCTGCAAAGCAAGCGAAAGAGAGACCCTATCAGATGGGTGGACGAGAGTTAAGCCCTCTGGGATTGGTGATGGCAGCAGGGTGCACTGTGCACCTCGGTTTCCCTTGGTGACCCACGTCTGTTTTTGCTGTCTGTGTGTGTCTATCTGTCTGTGTGGAGTTATTTATGCCCCCGGTACATTCTCCTGTCTCCTTTTGGTTATATTTACTAAGAGCAAATACAAATATACATTTGGGAAAAACAGAAAAGAGATAAATATGCAAGCTGAAACTGTGTGAAGTCCTGAGGTTTCTGTGGGAGGCAGGGGGCAGGCTTGGGGTGGGAAAACAGCAGACAGATCCACTCTGGGCCTATGGTATAGTCAGAGGGCGAGCTGGGGCTTGCAGGGGGCTGCTGTTTTGCCTGTGTGCCAGCCCCATCCTCTAGCTCTGGCACAGAAATAGGTGCTGAGCATGCACCAGGTGGCAAGGAGTCACAGGCTGGGATATAAGGTCTCTTCAGGGGCACTAGTATCTGGGACTGTGAGGGGAAGCTGTCTGATTGGCACCTTGCCACACTGCCCTGCCCCCTGGTATGAGGCAGCCAATCAGGCAGTGCCCTCCTTCCCCATCCCTCTGGCCTGGGGTTGCTGAGGGGAGGAGAGGGCAGGGGCAGGTGGCTGCCTCTTCCTCCCTGCCCTGTCTCTTGGGAGGGACAGGGAGGGCTACCCTATGTCCCCTCCATGCAGTACCCTGCCCAGGGAAGGGCAGAGGGTGACAGCCCCTGGAGCTGCCCCCTGCCAGTGCAGCGAACAAGGAGTCCCCATCTGCCCCCCAGCCCACCAGGACTGGAGAAGAGGATCCCGTGGCTGCATTCTGGCCTGGAGGGCGGTGAAGAGCCAGGAACTGCAGTGCGGAGCAGAGTTGAGTTTGGGGCACTGCGGAACAGAGGGGCAGGATTACAGGGCTAAGGAGACAGCGTCAGAGCAAAGCAGAGGGGGCTGGCTGATAAGGGAGGTCCATTGTTTTGAAGGGAGAGACATAGGGATGGTGACACCCTCCCCCGACTTTTTTACCCACTTCAAACTGAGGACCAGGTATTTGTGCAGCCAGAGGCCTCGTGTCCACGGTGCAGCTCTGGAACTCAGCGGAATTGCAGCAGGCGGCTGGACGGCCACGGGGGATCCAGAAGCCTTGTGGCCATTTGTCTGTTGTCTTGAGGAAGCGAACCCAAGAGTAGTGTGCAGCTCTATAGTCCAGACTGTAACAGCATCCCCAGGCCCTGCCTGCCTGACTCCTGCACTATCAGGTTCATTGTCCCCTCCCATCTCCCTCCTTCTCTTCTTCCCTTGGACTGTCCTGTTCCCCACTGTCCCTGACTAGGCAGATGCTGGGGCTGCCCCATTTCTCAAGGCTGTCACTCTTAATAGCTCACTGGACCTAGTTCCTCCTGTTGCTGAAGGGGTACATCTCCCTTTCTTTGGCATCCTGGGGCTATTCTCTTCTCCCCAGCTGTCCATCTTTCTAGGACCAGGCCTCAGGCCTGCTTCACCTGCTGCTGTTTTGTCTCTTCCCCCCAAAACTCTCCAGTTACAAAATTCTGTCTGCCTTAAAGAATGATTTTTCCCCCTGCTGCAGCCAGCATGCCTGCAGCAATGAACAATGTCCCAGCAGCAGGAAAGCCATGTCATGCCTTATAAGTTACAGCCCAGGGAATTATGCACCTGAGCAATTTTACACACCAAACATATGACCCTGCAAAATTGCATAATTTAAGACAAGTGAGCTCTGTGCCTCCACCTCTGTGGGGCTCCTGGCACTCCAGCTGGGATCCCCATGTGGAGGCACCGAGTAAGAGAGTGTGGTGGCGCGTGACTAGACAGCTGGTGAGTGGGGAGGGAAACTCCTGCCTGCAGTAGGGGGCTTATGGCACTGCAGGCAGGAGCCATGTGCTATTGGGCCAGATGGGCTCCATGCCTCCATGTGGGGCTTCCAAGCACTCCAGCAGAAAGCCACATGTGGAGGCACAGAGCCTGCCTGGCCCCATGGCACACAACTCCAGGCCTCCACGTGTGGCTTCCCGCTGGAGTACTAGAAGCCCCACTTGGAGGCAAAAAGCTCACCTGGAACGATGGCATGTGGCTCCCCCCTGCAGTGCCATGAGCCCCACATGCTGGCCTGGAGCCTGCCTGGTCTGATATGAAGGTGCGTGCCAGCGGGCCGGGCTGGGTCAGACCGGGTCCATGCCCCCATGGTCAGCCCCTGGGGCTCTGCCTGCTGCAACCATGAACACCCGAAGGGCCTGCTGCTTGCTGCTGCCACCAGTACACCATGGCGGGGAGGGGCGCCACAAACCCCACACCCACCTAGATGGGGGTTTTGGCACGGATATTAAGGATGTAAGATGAAATGTAAAAAAAAAGTAATTAATTTTGCATAATTCTGAATGTTCTGTGCATAATTCCCTGGGGCGTAATAAGTATGCATGTGAAGTTGTTTGTACAGGATTGCGTATGGGGAAGGACTTGTCTGTAGATAGTTTAGGGAATGCAGGTAGGGAGTGATGTGCTGGAAGAGCAAGTTTAGGTGTATGTGGGTGTACAAATGAAAGCAGCATATGAGTGTAAGTGATACAAAGAGGAACATACATAAGCTCATAGGAGATGATGGGAAGGTGTGTGTGACTGCATGCAAGCAAGAGCATAGGCCCATGATATGCGAGTGCCATGCAGATGCCAGTGATGAGCACAATCTAGAACCCAAGCTATATATGTGCACATGGTGTGAGGGAAGGTGTGCTTGCACATGGCATGTGCATGTGCTAAGAATATGCGTATGCACCGGAGGGACTGTGGGAGTAAGTGTGCCTGCACGTGGCATGGTGAGTGACATGGTTTTGGGGGTGGGGGTTGGGAAAGAACCGGTATGCACATGCCTTGAGAATAGATGGGCAAAGCAGCAGCAGTAACTGTCTCTTTGGCTGCCTGCTCCTGCACTGAGCAGCAACATCCCTATGCCTGCAGCAACAGATGGTGGGATGTTTTCTTAATTTCTTTAAAAACAAACCATGTGTGATGTCCATATTGCACAGGATTCCCCACAATGCACCATCCCAGCCACAAGGCACATCTCTGCTTACTGCTGTTGCTGCTGCTGGGTGGCAGCTTACAAATAAACACTGACCCCTGGCACAGCCCTGCCAAACCAGCAGCCAGCACATTGTAGGCACACACTACCTGCACTGCTGGGAGCCACTGACAGACAGGAGATTGAGGAGCTACTTCTTTCTGGTGACAAGAGAGATCACAGCCATTTTCATTGAGGGGAGAGAATTTAAGTAATTCCTGTCACTTGGGAAGGTCAGGTCTGGCTCTTGCTGGGTGGAGATGTTGGGATGTGGTTAGCACTATGGCACATCACTGCAGACTAGGGTAGGAGAGGCTGCGTGTCAAAGAGTATGGATGTCCTGGTGTAGAGTTGTGTTGGATGGAGAAGCTACTTGGGCTACACTGGACCTGGAAGCCCAGGAGCATCTACTGAGGAAAGGCTCAGCATCCCCCCACAAACGTGCAGCAGCTCATCCCCGTGTTAGGAACAGGTTGGAGAGGACAGCTCTGCAAACATGCAGTGGTGACTTCTGCTTCTTGCTGAAGCCTTTCCCCCCCTTCCCTCCCTCTGCAAAACCTGGCTTTATTTGCATGCATAATCTCAAATAATCCGAGGGAGTTTGTGATTTTCTTGTGCAGATGGGGGGCAGAGATTAAACCTTCATCCTAATAATCTCATTCTCCAGATAATCCCTTTGCTTTCATCTCCCAGTCAGCCCTGGGAAGGCCTCCAAATAGCCCTGCAAGACAATATGGAACAAGCAAGGCTCCATCTGTCTCCCTTCTCTGTCAGGATCTCTAGGCAGGGTCTCTCTGCTAGTCAGGATAAGACTCACCTCCTCAGACTGCTATCTCCAAACATCTGTCTGTAGTTTAGTACAACTGCAGCTCCTCTAGATGCCCCTAGTCTGATCTCTGCTGTCACCAAAAGCCCTGATCCTGCTTCCCAAAAGGTCTGTATTCCCCAGCTTCCAGGCACCCTGAGTTCCCAGCATTCCTCGAGATGCATTCTGGCTCTGCCCAGCCTCTGCAGTGAATGCTTGGGGTCCCCACCAGCCCTGCCCTTCCCTCAAGTGAGGGAAGGTTTCACCTGTGCAAGATACACAGGTGTGACTCCTAATGGAACAATGTCAGCTCAACTGCTGGGGAACAGGGACAGCTCAAGGGACTGGAAAGACAACACTGAAATCCAGTGTAAATACATCCTGAGTCAAAAGAGGTGGACAACTGTGGATCAGTAAAAGGACACAGAGCCTTTCATGTCTGTGGCACAAGTTCATGTCTAATGTGGTAGTGACAGAGTTGTTATCATGGACAGGTAGATGTCCAGTGACCTGAGAAGGTTCCTCCCCTGCTCCCGGGAGAGCCACAGAGGCAACAAGCCTGATGGGCCAGGGGTGTGAACCCCTGAATTGGGATGTGAATCAGTGAATACTCACCAACTTGTCTGGCACAAGGAATGATACTCTAACTATGGAGGGCAGGGGGGAGAGGAGGGAGCAGCACACCACTTTTACTCTTCCCCTGTTCACAGCAGGGCTTGGTAACCTTCTGTAAGACAAATGTACCATAGAATTCACAAGAAGAAAGTTTATAAAAGGCTACTAGTCTCCAAAGCCCCTCCAGCACTGCCCATCAGACACCCATGTTCACACACATACACCCCACCCCGCAACAGGAGGGAAGGGATGCCAAGGCCTATGCCCCCATTAGAAGCAAGAGACAATGGGCCAGGTTGTTGGGCAGCTGGTGAGCTAGGCACTGGGGATAGATTTGCCGAAGTTCTTAGGCCCCAGCTGCTGCCAAACTGCCCCTTCAGGTTGCCATATCCAAACTTTAGAACCTCAAAACCCCTGCTCACTTGCTGCCTGGCTCCACAAGCTCCCAAGTTTGTGCTAGTAAGTTCCCAGGGCTGCAAATGTTGTTTTCCCAGAATTGCCAGGATAAGGGCTGTCTGACTTCTTGGTGGTTGGGGGCCACACACCTGATGGGCCGCATCACCACAAACTACATTGGATCCCTGGCCCATGTGAGCACTCCCCTTGCTGCACACCCC